AAATGGATCTCCAGGGACCACTCTGCCCAAAGCCCTCCGGACCCCCCCCCCATCTGCTAATCCCCCAGCCAGCCTGAACCTTGGTTTCCCTCCCAATGGCCTAATCCCAGGATTGTCCAGGCCATTTACATTGTACAAGGTTTTCAGAAAAGATTCAGCGGGCCCCAGAGCGGCCCTCTCTGGCGATTAGCTGATTCCTAATTGAAAAATTCCCTCCTGCCCTCCTCCCCTCTCCATGGGCTCTTGGGCTGGGAGGACCCCATGGTTGTGTGTGGGCCCCTTGGGGGCCTCCTTGGGCCTGTGCGGGGGGACAGACTGCATCTTCTCCTGAGGGGCCGGTGGCCTGCCTAAAGCCCCCTTCCTTTGGGAGAACTTGGGACTCGGCATCTGGAGGCCTGAGCCCACAATCTCACTCTCTGGCCCTCTGCATCGGTCTCAGGTCCCTGGAAGGGAGGAGGGAGGTTGTCAGAATAGAATGGGGGGACAGCCGGCGGCTCTGAGAGTGGGTTACACCTCCCTGTCTTCGCCTGCTGTCCCCAGTCTTCACTGCCGGGTCCCCAACCAGGCAACTTAATTCTGCCTGTCACCAGGATATGGGCCTGGGTTATTTATCCAGTGTATATATGTATTTTAATTTAAAGATCTGCCAGCCAGCACCAGTGGCTCCCGCGGTGTCCCCTGCTGCCTCCTGCATCTGAGAGAGGCCTTGCCTGCTGCCAGCCCCTGTCCCTGGCCTTCAGAGGGGAGGGAACAATGGGGAATGAGGCCAGCGCCTCCAGCCATTCCCAACTGATAGGGAGAGCACTTGACTCTGAGTCCACCCACACGGCTCCTTTAGACACCCAGTAAGTGTTTGTGGAGGGCAGCTGGTTTTGTGTGAGACACAGGGACCCCTGGGTGGAGGCCTGGCTATCAGCTCTCAGAGGGCCCCTTCCCCACAACCTCAGCCCTCATGCTGACCAACAAAATGGTGGCCTTAGATGGGCAGCGACTTGGTCTGCACAGGGTGGTAAGGACGGTGCTGGAAGCCAGGCTTACCTAGTCCCTAAAGGCGCCATCTGTCTGGATGCCAGTGGGTATTCCTGTCCCTCAGTTTCCCCTGGTAGCCACAGACACGGCTGCTGAGCCGAGGCCCTGCTCGTGTACGATAAACGACACTAATATCGCCCCAGTGTGTGGGGCCCGTCACTGACACAGGCTGGAGGGAGTGACATACTGTCTCCAGTTCAGCAGGGGTGACAGAGCCTGAGGTGGGACCAGTGCAGGCACAGCCCCTAACCCTGCCAGGACCCCCAGGAGGCTCTCCAGTGTGTCCAGACTCCCCGCAGGGCCCCTCCCCAGCCCACAGTGACCTGGCTTCCATTTCTGCTGCAGAAAGGGAGCCATGCAAGTGAACTCCCCAAACTGGCTCTGGCCTGGGGGAGTGGGGGCAGGTGAAGGCTGGGCTTCCTGCTGGCTGGCCTCTCAGGGACCCACCCGGGACCCAAGCCACCCACAAGTCATAAATAGGGTCCTGGAGCCTGGGATGAGCTCTCCTTCCTTAGTCAAAGTATGTCTAGCCTGTGGTACAGATGGGTAAACTGAGGCCCAGCAGGAAAAGCAGCCATCTCTTTCTCTGGGAGAGAGATCAGGGTTTCTCTGTGTAGCCCTGGCTGCCTTGGAACTCACTCTGTAGACCAGGCTAGACTTGACCTCCCAGATCTGCTTGCCTCTGGCCTGAGTGCTGGGAGATTCTCTTATCCCCAGGAGTCAGTCTCACTGTGGGAGCAGGATTGCAGTGGAATTTTAGCTTCCAAAATGCAAAGATGGAGGAAGGGCAGTGGAACCAGCACCGCAGGGAAGGGCTCCTGTGTGTCCTGGCTTCATGGTGCCCCAGCCTCATCCAGCCCAGAGCCCTCTCTACTCAGCCCCATGATCCCAGCCCCATCCTACCCACCTGTGTGGCCCAAGACGGGCCTCCATGTCTCCATCTGCACAGGCTGTGGGACATCTCCTCTGCCCCACTGCGCGCAAGGCCAAGCAAACTCCCTCCTCCAGGGCTGCTGGGCCTCCATTTTACATGGATGGAGTTAGGACACTCCCCAGGGGCTCTCCCTCTCAGGCCTATGAGCCTGGGTGTGTGTGGGGGTGGAGGTGAGGGAGCCCCGGCCTGGGACTCTGATCCTGCCTAAGGAGCAGCCTAGTCCACAGCCCTGAGCCCTCGCACCACCCTACCATCCTCAGTAAAACGGAAACACCTGCCGACATCCTCCGAGGCTGGTAGGAGGAGCCCCAGAAGTTGTATCCACCCAGGGCTGGGGTTCAGGAGGCCCAGGACTGTGAACCCCCAAACCTCACCACTCCCAGACTATACTCACCCCAACCTGCACCTGTTTGGCACTCCTTCCTTCCTTCCTTCACAGGCCAGACCCCTCCCAGCCAGCACCTGCCCCAGGCTCCGCCCCATCAGACCACGCCCCAACCCTCAACGAGTCTGACGCACCACGACGGGAGGCCAGCATCTCCTGAGAGGACACTAAGGAACGTTTGTGGCTGTCCCCACAGCCACACAGGTAATTGTGTTTTGGGGTTTCCCCGCGTAGCCCTGGCTGTCCTGACTCGCCTCTGCCTCCCAAGTGCTGGGATTACAGGCGTGCAGTACCACACCCGGCTTTCCGTAGTATTTTTTCATGTATGAGTGATCTGTCTTCATGCACACCAGAAGAGGAAATCAGATTCCATTGCATATGGCTGTGAGCCACCACGTGGTTGCTGGGACTTGAACTCAGGACCTCTGAAGAGCAGCCAGTGCTCTTAACCTCTGAGCCACCTCTCCGACCTGGTAGTTGTGCCATCTGTCCTGCTTCGTGGTTCCCTGGTGGCTCCAGGCTGTGTCCTGCTGGCCCCATAGCTTTATCCCAGGGCCCTGGAAGGTCACCAGATGCCAACCAAGATGGAGGAGGGCCCCCAGAGACACATACATGCCCATGTGGTGCAGGTAGGGAGACCTCTGACCTTGATAATTTTTTTTTATTTAGTCATTTAACTTTAAAAATGTTCAATATAAAGTTTTTTAATGGGCTCTTGGCTACATAGTCAAGACTGGCCTTAAGCTCACAATCCCTGTGCCTCTGCCTTTCTACCGCAATTTGTATTTGATGCTCTTTTTCTTCCTTTTTGATGCTGTAGCTTTATCTACATAAATGTATACCACGTGTATTCATTCATTCAAGTCCACGGAGGGTGCTTGAGTGCCCACTGTGTACCCAGTGCGGTCTAGGTGGCAGAGACAGGAGGGCACCTGGCTGCTCACCCTCAGGCCAGAGGGTCTAAAGACCAAAGGAAGAAGAGAAGAGAGAAATCCAGACAAAGGAGAATTCGCTATGTAAAAGAAAAGAATCCAAGCTGGGCGTGGCACACACCTGCCAACCCCAGAGGAAAGCAGGAGGATCCAGAGTTCAAGGTCATCCTGGGCTACAAAGCAAGGGCAGCCTGGTCTACCTGGGACATTCTCTCTTTCACACACATGCGCGCACACACACACACACACACACACACACACACAAAACAGAACGAAGAAAGAAAGAAAGAGAGAGAAAGAAAGGCGGGCGTGGCTTTCTCTTGGGGCTGGGGTGGAGGAGCCTTCCGTGGTTGAGTTGAGATAAGGGATAGCCGAGGGGCCAGAGCCATCACCGGGGTCCCGGGGGACCTCGAGCCTTCCTGTCCCCCGCGCCACCACCTCCTGTCCACGCGGCTACCGAGGCGGCAGTAAGAGGCTGCGGGAGAGAGATTGCTTCTCTCCGGCAGCTTCAGGTGGAGGAGACAAAGGCGCGGGACCGGCATACCGATGCCGCCGCGCTCCGCCTGGGTGGGGTGCGGGCGCGCGGGGCTGCGGGCGCGCGGGAGGGACGGGCCCCCACAGCTCGGGGGCGTCGCGGGGAAAGTTCCTCAGTCCCCGGCCGGACAGCGGCGCACGCAGGGTCGCCCGCGCCCCGGCCCCCGGGCTGGGTCCCGAACTCGCGTGGCGCCTGCCGTGGGTTGAACTCGGGCCGTCGGCGCGCAGGCTCCCTCCTCCGTCTCACAGGCGCTCGCACTGTAGCCCAGGCTGGCCAGGGACGCAGCGCTCCACCTGCCCGTCCCCCGGTGCCGGCTGGCCGCCGGGCCGCAGCGGGGCTCGGGCTCGGGCGCCCCCCAGCCGCCGGCCGCCTTCCCGGGCAGGCCGGGCGCGGACACAGGGCCCTTTGTGCGGCCCGCGGCCCCGCTGCAGGCCCGGCGGCTGCTCTGCCGGCTCGGGGGGCGCCGCGGGGGACACGCAGCCGACGGCCGACCGCCGTCGGGGACCCCCGAGCGGGGCGACCCCGGGCCTACCTCCCCCCGAGTCAGACGGAGAAAATGAGTCACGGGAACGCTCACCCGCCGGACTAAGGTCCCGGGCGACCCCAGGCGTCAGGGTGGCCTCCCGCCGTGCTGGCCCCAGCTTCCCTGGCTGCCACAGGCCTCACTCAGGCCCAGCTGGCTCCCGGGTTCTCGTCCCCGCAGACCCTCCCGCCCCTCTCCAGAGTCCCCCAGCTCTGTCCAAAGTCTAAGAGACCCACGCCTTAGTTTGTCCATTTTATTATAAAAAAATAACAGACTCCAAAGCTGATTGGGACGAGGGGCCGGGCCACCTGTCCCCCGCCCCTACAAAACCCCCCCCCCACGGCGGCCGTCCACAATATATATTTATATAGAATATCTATAAACCACGGAGTGAGGAAAGGTGGGTAGAAATCCGTATAAATGTGTCGTGTGGCCAGCTTCACTCGGTCCTTTGCTCTTTCTGTATTTTTGGTAGGTAGCTCCCCTTCCTTCTCAGTCCTGCCCCTTCTTCTTTCTTTCTTTCTTTCTTTTTTTTTTTTCTTTTTTCTTTTTTTTTCTTTTTCTTACAAACATGGTCACATGATCAAGGGGGAGGGCTCCAACGGACAAAAAAAATGAGTTTATTGCAAAGTGTTGCCTCTAGCCTAAAAAGTCCACCCCACTCCCCTCCCCCCCCCAAAAAAAAATAAAAGTCCCCTCAAATCAAAGGTCTGGAAAAAATTTTTAAAAAGATTTTCCATTCTGTCCTTAAGAATACATTAAAATAAATCACAGTATACACTTGCTGGTTTCTATATACAGAAATAAAACGTCTTCCCAGGCCTGGAGACGGTTGTGGGTTGTGCCCGGTGGAGGAGGTGGGGGGAGCGAGGTGGATAGCAAGGGCTGGAGGATTTTCTGAGATGATGAGGGAAAGGGGCTCAACAGTGGCTAGAAGAGGGGGTGAGGCCCCCTGTGCCCCAGTGAGGAGCTGGCACCATGTACCCTTCCTGGCTCAGGCTTGCCTGGCCTGAGGAACCCGAGGCAGGTCCCTGGTGGGCTCCATCTGGGCTCCCCAAAACAGGAGTGGCTTGAGGCCAGAGAGGGCTCCACCTCACCCCTCTGGCTTCCTCCCTTCCCAGCATCACCAGCGATATCAGGGAATAAATTAAATTAAAACAAGAACCTTAAGTCTTTCTGACTGAAACGAAACAACACTGGGTGGCCCTGGAGCTCCCTGGCAGCCCTGGACAAAGTGGCTCAGCCTGGGTCCCCTCCTCAGCACCGGGAGCCCGCGCCGCCCGCCAGGGTCCAGCGCACGGCCTCCTGCAGGGCAGCACCATGAAAGAGCAGCAAGGGTTTTTGTCTCGGAGGCGGCCTCGGCGGGTCAGGGTGCCAAGGTCAAGGCGTCCAGGTGCGGCCGGTGTCCGAAAGCCGACACTAGGAGCCCAGGAGGGTCCACAGCACAGGGACGGTGGTGAGGAAGAGGCGGCAGCCGCCCAGGCCGCTGCAGGAACTGTTGCTGGTGAAGATGGGCTCCGGGGCCTCATACAGCGTCTCATCTGTGGGACGCAGGGCGGTGGGGCTGTCAGCCGGCTGGGCTGGGCCCCCTCGGAGGTCCCCCCAGGCTCGGGGCGTGTGGGCGGGTGGGGGTTGGACGGGCCTCCCGACCCCCAGCTCTTTGGATCACTCATGGGTGTGAGGTGCAGGGCGACAAGGCCCTGAAGACACTTACTGGTTGGGCGGACATAAACTTTCAGTCTCAGGCAGGGCCGGTCCACGAGGTTGGGAGGCGTGGCAGCTGGAAAAGAGGGCAACCTCCTGGGGGCTTATCCTCCCTCCTCCACACTGCTGACCTAGCCCACAAAACTCCCAACCACCCGTCAAAACCCCAGACACAATGCCCTGTGTTTTACTGGAGTCTCTTTCATGTTTCCTCCATCCAAGCCTGACTCCAAAGGCTGTTTTATGCCTTGGCCCAGCCAGCCTCAACCCAGACAGAACAGGGGTTGACTTTCTCATTTATTGATTTATTGATTTGAGACAGGGTCTCTTTATGCACCCTTGGCTGTCCTGGAACTCTCGATGTAGACCAAGCTAGCTTGAAATTCACAGAAATCCCCCTGCCTCTGCCTCCCAAGTGCCGGGATTAAAGACACGAGCTACTGCACTCAACCTAGGGGGAAATTTCAAGCAAAATAAAAATAAAACAAAGCGAGAGCTGAGGAGGCAGAGACAGGGGGATGACGGCAGCTCACGCCAGCTTCGGCGAGAGACCCTGACAACAAAGGCGGAGAGAGACAGAGGGTGCCCAGCGGCCTCCGGGGTTCCGAATCGCCGGGTGGGCACGGCTGTCCTAGCACAGCCAGCGGGAGAGGAGAGTCCTCCTGGGCTCCGCGTGGAGTCTGAGGCCAGCCTGGGCTACGAGGGTGGAGCCCTGGAGCCCAGAGGACTGAGCCCTGGTGCAGGGGCACCACCTCACGGCCTGTCAGCCACCCTCACCCACCCACCCCCCATGCCAGGACTAGAAGATTAAAGAGCACGAAATAAAAATAACATTCGTCACAGCGATGGAAGGAATTATCACATCGTTCTTTCCGGGATTCCCATCTTGCAAAGAAAAATGTCGTGGTTTTTTCCCCCCTCTCTCTCATATTTCGGGATTTCATTTTAAACACCTTCTGCCCGTCCCCACCCGCTTCTTCCTTGAATTAAAAGGAAGGAGGAGGAGGAGGAGGAGGAGGAGGAGGAGGAGGAGGAGGAGGAGGAGGAGGAGGAAGAAAAAGAAGAAGAAATGGGGCCTGTGAGGTTTAATGTGAAAGCTGGGGGATCACCGCAGGGCCGGGGCGCAGGGTGGGGTTCCGAGCCTGTTCCCCTCTGGGCCTCCCTGGGAGACACTCAGAAACGGGGATCCCTCCGTGTCACCTTCCTGCTTCCTCCAGGATCGTCGGCCATGGGGTGGCCAAGAGCTGGGGAGACCTGCCTCGGTCTCCCCATTGTCTGAGGGGGCTAGCCTGGGCTACTCACAGATGTAGTAATACTCGTGGCCGGGCCGGAACTCGAAGCCCAGGGAGAAAGGGGTGAAGAGCTGGAACTTCTCGGAGAACTTGAGGGGCCCCCCGGGCGCCGCGGGCCGGTTGCACTCCCAGCGCTTGAAGCCCCGCTGCCGGTGGTCGCAGGTGGCGTGGCCCTCCCCGTTCACCATGTACAGGACGTAGCGCTCCATGCGCTCGGCCGGGGGCAGCGGCGCCCCGTAGTGCGGGCAGTAGATGTCCAGGTAGTCGTTGATGCTCACCTCCACCGTGTAGCCCCCGCCGTCACCCACGGCGCCCACCTGGAACCTGCCGGAGAGGGCTGGTCAGCGGGCAGCAAGATGGACCTGGGGCCCCCATCCATCCACCAGCCTGGAGGGGTCCCCCTCCCCGCCATCCCTGCCTCGGTTTCCCTGCAGGGAGGCAGAGCTTAGGGGACGCCCCACCTCCGTCCCTCCCTCCCTCCCTCCCTCAGCCTCCCACAGGGTCCAGCCATCTTGGAGACACCTGGGGATCAAGCCAGCCTTCCCTGCTGTGTGACTCTGCTGTGTCTCTTGCCCTCCCTGTGCAATGTGTGTGTGTGTGTGTGTGTGTGTGTGTGTGTGTGTGTGTGACAGAATCTCTTGAAACCCAGGCTGGCTTTGAACTCCCTAAGTAGCCAAGGATGACCTTGAACTCCTCATCCTCCTGCCTTTGGGAATGACACAGGGGCATCGGGCCACCTCTCTCTCCGGTGGGTTCCCCGGCTTTCGGCCACTGCCTCCCCCGCACCTTCAGCCTCGGCGCCGGAGGTCGCCCTGCTGTCCCCCAGCTGTCCTCTGGGGGACGGCCCTGACCCAGCCTCGTCTTAGAGGACGGAGGCCGGCCTGCGGGGTTGAACTGCGGTTCCCCTTCCATCTCCGCCTCAGGCTACAGCAGCAGGAACCCTCAGATCTCTCACAGTGTCCCCCGGGTCCCTGTCATGTAAACGCAGGCCAAGGGGGGCAGAGGGGGGCCCTGTGAGAACCCTTATTAGCATATAAAAGCCTGGTAGCTGGGAGTGGGAGGGTACTGCCTGAGGCTCCTTTACCTCCCAGGACAGCCGGGGGAAACTGAGGCCTGGCTCCCTGCAAAGGGCATGGGAGCTTCCTGGTACATTGTGTGGGGCTCGCTGCATGGCACAGCAGTGTCTGAGGGTCATGGGTTCAAGGTCATCCTCATCTCCATACAGAGTCTGAGGCTACATGAGACCCCGTCAAAACCAGCAGTAAAAGCTGTTCTTTTTGTTCCCCAGCTCGTGGGCTTGTGCACCGCCCACCAGTGAGGTGTGAGCACAGGCCGGGTGCCAGCCAGACCGTGACTGGGCCATGGGCTTGTCAGATTCCCTCGAGTGCGGGTGCAATCCTCAGACTGGGGGGGAAAGGGGGGGCTGGGTGTGTCCATAACCAGGACTTCCTGTAAGGGACAGTGCACCAGCCACAGGTTCCTAGGATGCGGCCGTGGCTGGGCAGCTCGGCCGCAGCCTGGCCTGGCCTGGCCTGGGTGCACAGTCGCCAGTGTGAGCGTGTGGGCCTGCAGGGCGCCCCTTGGCCACACTGCGCGGGGTCTCACTCCGGGAGATGCCGCCGGCTCACAGGGCAGCACCCGCCTTGTGTGGGAGCTGGGACTGAACTAGGGTCTCAGGCTCGCAAGGCCTTACCCACGGAGCAGCTCCCCCTGCCTCCCGAGCTGTGGGCGCATCTGCCTGCCTGAGTGCACCCTGGCAGGGCTCACCCTCCCGTCCCCACTCACAGGCAGCGCTGGGGCTGCAGGTGCACAGACCCGTGCCCAGCCTCTTCCTGGGCTCCTGGATTTGAACTCGGGTCTTTATGTTTACACCGCAAGGCCTCTTACCCTCTCACTGTCCCCCTGACACTCAGCTTTTCACAAGCCATCCACGCTCCTTCCCAGCTCACTGCGCTGATGGACAGAATTACAGACGCTGGTGCTCCGTAGACCAGCGATCTGCCAGGCTCCCGACACCCCAAATCCGAGGCCAGCTTTTCTGAACACAAACCGGACCTCTGGACCTGGAGGGCCAACGCTGCTCATCTTTCCTTGGCCCCTCAACATGGCCCGTGGTCTCCAGGCCGGGACTCCACGGGACACTGCGTCCACCCCATTCCACAGAGGTGTCTCCACCTCAGGATGTTTGCGCATGCCCAGAAGGTCTTTTTACACACACACACACACATACACACACACACACACACACACACGCATCTTTGTGCCCGTGGCCAACCCAGACCCTGCATGTAATGGCGCTCAATCCGTGCTTGCTGTTTGAACAAGAGAATTTCATAAAAGCCAAGGGTGGGAGGCCTTCGGGATCGTCAGGGCACACTTCCAGGGTGGGCGGAGTGAGGGTCCCGAGGCCCCTCTCCTCCGCCAGGCAGGAGTGGCTTAAGTAGGCCACTTGGCTTTTCTTTCTCTCCTTGACTCTAAACCACACCAGCCTCGCTGTGTTGGTATTCCTGGTTCCAGGCAGGTGATGGGGAGCCAGTACCCCACGGCTGCTCCAAGGGACGCCAGCACCGGTGCTGGGGAAGGCGGGACCACCACAAACAACCTCCGTGGGAGCGGACAAAGCCCCCGCTCTTCCCTTGCCTGAAGCTGCGGAGACACACACGGATGGGAGAAGCTCTCACCGAGGGCTTAATGGCGGCCTTGAGAATTCTCTTTCCGGCCTTGGTCTCCATGTCCGCTCCTCGAAGCAATCCTCCTGCCCCATGGCCTTGCCAACGTCTCTCCCGGGGACCCAGGAGGGCTGGTGGGAGGCACGTGGGGGCCCGGAGCTCAGGGGGAGCTTCACCACCCAGCCATGTTGGACGATGCCAGACCATGTCGCTTGCCCATGGGGGACATGCCAGAGGGAGCCAGGAGGTGGCCTGCAGACACTTACGGACGGGCTGCCAGCCCGTGTGGAGGCCACGGACCGCCCATGGGTGGCCTGTAGGATGGACTACGGGTCAAGTCCAAACGAGGACAGGAAGTGGGGGTGGGGGCTCATGTAGCCCAGGCTAGCCGCTAACTCACCATAGCTGAGGAGGGCCCTGAACTCCTGACCCTCCGGCCTCCGCTTCCCCAGCGTCGGAATGACAGGCTTCCGACACCCTGCCTGTGTTTCGTGATGCTGGGGTCCGGGTGGCGCGCTCAGGGTTCCCAGCGGACTGCGGGTGCCCTCCCACTGAGCCCGGACTTTCCTGTCTGTCTGTCTGTCGATCGATCTCTTGAGGCAGAGCCTCACGTAGGTCAGGCTGGCACTTACAGCAATCCTCCTGCCTCAGCCTCCTGCCCAGTTCACAGATGGCTCCTTCCAGCTCTTCTGCTACCAGAGGCATTGTCTTATTCCCAGCAGCGGCCTCAGTGTCCCCCTGAACACCTCCAGGCCACACAGGCCTTCAACAGTCACTCCCTGAGACCCGCCAACCACCAAGGGCCCAGGAGCCGAATCCTCAGGCCCTTGGCGGCACTGCCAGCACCCCTAGCCTAAAGGACTACATGAGCAAAACACAAAGACAAGTGCATGGCCGGGCAAGCCAAGCGAGGACGGCAAGCCGAGCGAGGCCGGCAGAGGCAGAGGAGGAGCCCGGGCCAGCGTCACCACCTTCCTAGGTGGGCGTCTCAATGGGTGGCGACACTGCTGCCCACACAGAGGTCACCCTCGTCCCCGAGCCTGGCCACGTCTCCGAGGTGAGTGACACCGGACACATTGGCCATCTCATGGGATGTCTGCAGGGGAGACTGGACAGTGGTCAGGCCACTTCTGCGGATGGCCCTGTGGCCTGGGACAGCAGAGCTGTCCCCGTACCAGCCCTCAGCACATACCACACAGCCGGGAACACCATGAACACACATGGGTGCGGCTCATGCCCTAACACAGACTTGCACATGTGTGTGACATGCAGATCTGTGTGCGCACCGTCCTACCTGCTCTGACCTCTGCACGCGATGCCTTGCACACGCATGGACACACGGACACACACACACACACACACACACACACACACACACGCCTCCCCAGCTCGGGCCGCCCTGTCACATGCCCTCTGCGGCAGCCAGCTCCGTGCAGACCCACATTCCGGGCTCCCCCGGAGTTGTGGATGGGAACATGCAGCCACAGGCCACCGCAGACCCCATGAACACAGGTGCCCGGGGTGGGCCGCAGAGCGGCCGGGCGGTCCGTGCCGGGGGTCCTGAGCAGGACGCAGCTGGGAATAAGCGTAGAGTCCCCCAGGGGGCCTAGCGGGGAGGGCAGAGGACGGGGCACAGTGCCTATGGAGGTGGGCTCCTCGGACAGACCCACCCGGATAGGGGCCCCCGGGGGTGCCTGGGCAGGGCTCCATCCACAGGGCCGGAGGTGGGTGTCCCCCCTTTGCTGCCGAGACGCCGCCATTGGGAAACCTTCACATCGGGCAGGTGTGGCTGGCCGGGTGGCACAGAGCAGCAGGGCGTGGGTATCTGCTCCTTCGTGGGTATGAGCACTCTCGAGCAAGCCCACCCCTCCCCCACCTCTGTTCAGAGTGTCTTTTGTGTGTGACCCATACTCATGCTCTCAGGGTCCAGCACTCCCCACCATCGCCCCTGTTTTGTTTCACCCCCATCCTGCCCCACACTGGGCTGGGGTGCCGATCCTACCTAGTGCCCTGGACTGGACCCACACACTGGGTCTCCTTGGATGCCAGCCTGAAGCCCCTGAATCGCCTACCCCTGAACACCCATGAATCTCAAGGGCTCCCACAGCAGCCAAGACCCCACGTGCTGTGTTAACGACAAGCTCAATCCTGCGCAGAGCTGGGCTTCTGGGGCACGGCGGTCATCTGTCCTCAGGCCCCGCTGTGGGATGGCCAGCAGGGTCACCCACAGAAAGGGACCCAAGGAGCCCTACTCCACATACACACTCTCTCTCTAGGGGCTGGCTCTGCTACCTGCCTGGCCGTCTGTCCTCTTAGGCAGCCTGACCCAACACACAGCAACAGGAGAGGTGGCCAGCCTGAGCTGGACCCTGGTGGCGGCAGGAGACACGTCCTTCCTTCCCCAGCCAGGGTTCCAGCCTGCAGCCCCGTGTCCCTACGGCAAGGGAGGACATTAGTGGCAGCACGACCTCTTCCCTTCTTTCCCATAGCCCTTCCATCCTTTTTTTTTTTTTTTTTTTTTCCAGACAAAGGACAGGCCACACTGGGGACAGAGACCCCACAAGCTAAAACCAGAAAACTTAGGCCATGGAAGTGTAGCCACCAGGTTCCCTGCTTGGCCACTGAGTGTTAATCAAACCCACATGTGACCAGCATAGCCGGCGGGCACAGAGGCGGGGGCACCCACTGAGTGGTGGTCCTGCCAGGTCGCTGAAAGGCCCTGGGGCCCCTGCCCTCGGCCCAAGGGGACCCGACCCCACAGCTCCACCTTGGTGGCGGAGACAGTCAGCCAGCTCCCACCCCCACGGAGAGACGCTGGTGGCGCCTGTCCCAAGCTAGCCTCAAAGACCAGCTTTTATGCAACTTTCAGTCCGTGGATGAGGAGGGCAGCTCGGCCGAGGCAGCCGGCTCAGCTCCTCACTGGCCAGCCTCAGACACACGGGGACTCTCCATCTCTACTGCCTCCAAGTCTTGGAGATCCCAAAGCCTGTCTCCCAGGAAACCCTCCAGCACGCACCCACCCCCGAGACCCTTTAGTGACCCAGGAGGTTTTGTGCTGTTTGAAATGTGGTCAGTGGCCACCAAACTTTTCTCGCCCGGCCTGGAACAGCAGATTCTGCTGTGTCCCCGGGATGTACCGGGTGGCCGGCAGAGTCTGACCCACGGTGTTCCGCTGGCCAGGCAGGGCCGGGTGCCTCTGCTGGGTGTGGCAGGCTGGACACTCGGCCACCAGGGTCTCCGGCCCTACTTCCAATTCTCCGGCCATGACCTTGAGGCAGCCCCTCCTTGCTCCCCTCCTGCACCTCAGTTTCCCCAGTAGCTAAAAAGAAGGTGGAAAATGAGATGGCCGGTTCCGTCCCCCACACTGACCTCCGCTTCTTTGGTGCCGGGGGTCCCCCCTGTCTCTCTAAAGTGTCGTGGGGATTGGAGCACCCCTTGGAGTGAACAGGGGTAGAGAGGGGACGTTCCAACTTCCCCCAAGTTCATCTGGGGACCCACAGGCGGGATGAGCAGAACCTTCCCCAAAGAGCCACGTCTGGGTGTGAGGGAGGTCCCCAGCGATCGCTGCCAAATCCTCAGCTCTCCGGGGTGCCTCCTCCTCCCAGAGGCCAGGGGTTCAAGGGTGTCCCCGTGCAAGTCCAGCGAAGGAACTCCGGCGGCTGGGGCGCGGAGGGCTTCCCCCAAGTCCGGGAGCCCTGGAGGGAATAGCAGGCAGCCCCGAACTTCAGGGGAGGTCCTTGCGCTGCAACCCCAGGGCTGGGGCCTCTTGGGGACCCCGGGGGTCCCCCGCCGAGCTCACCTGGGGTTGCTGCGGTTCCAGTAGACTGCGTAGCGGTCAGCGTTGGCGCGGGCCGGGTCCTCGTTGCGCGCACGCAGCGGCAGCAGCAGCAGCAGCAGCGGCAGCAGCGGGCGCTGCGCGGGCGCCATGGCCCCGGTGCTGCCGCCGCGCTCGCTCGCTCGCTCGCTCTCCGGCCGCCGCCTGGCCCCGCCGTCTCCGCCTCCGCCTCCGCCGCCGAGCGGGCGGAGCGCCGCGCGCTTGGAGATCCTGCCGCCCCGCCTCTGCGCGCAGCCCCCACCGGAGACCGCGGGCGCCGAGAAAGCAGGCGGCGGCGGCGGCGGCGGCGGCGGCGGCTGCCGCGGCGCGGGACAGAGGCCCGGGCCCGTGCACTGCGCACGGCGCTCTCCCGGGTTCCCCGGGCGCGGGGGCTCCCCTCGCCTTTGTCCCCGCTGGAGCGTCTTGGAGGGTCGCGGGCGCCCCCTCCCGCCGCGCCCCGGACCCTCCAAGCCTCCGCCGGGCCCCGCCCCGGCCAGACTCGCGCAGACTCTGCCATGGATCCCCAGGGTCCCGCCCCAGCCACCCGCATCGGGAACGGGAACCCCCAGAGCGCTTCTCCTGACCCTCTGCGGCCCCGCCCTGTGTGGATTACAGTTAAAGGCTGGTCTGCCCGGCTCCTGGCTTCTCCGCTCTCAGGAGGCTGAGGCTGAGGCAGGAGGATTGACCCGAGTTCCAGGCTAGCCTAGGCTACAGAGTGAGACCTTATCCCCAAAACCAAGGAAGTCGTAGGCCAGCTGTGGTGCCACACACCTGTCCTCCCAGCACCCAGGAGGCTGAGACAGGAGGATCAGACATTCAAGGTCATCCTCAGCTACAATGGGAGTTTGAGGCCAGCCTGGGCTACATGAAACCCTCTATCAGAAACAAAGAAAACAAAACAGCGGACTAAGTAAAGTTCCAGTCACCCCTGCCTAGCTTTCCACCCCTTCCATCCTCAAGTGTACCCCCCTGAGGCCCCTGGGAGTCACTCACGGAACTCCGGGACCCGCCCCCACCGTCGCCTGCCAGGGCGCTCCAGGGGGACTGGGAGTTGTGTGAGCCAGACGACGGGTTTTTCTGTCTTGTTTGTTTTTCATTTCCAGGATCTAGTGCTGGGCGTGGGGACCCCAGAGCATTTGGACTCTAGAATGGACTGGAGGAGGCTTAAGATCGCAACGTAACTTGGGACCCACAAGGCCAGGATGGTGGAGAACTCATATCTTCCCAAGTTCCACACTGCCAACACACACACACACAGCTATCTGTGAGATTTCACCGCCACCAATCTGACCACGGAAACCCTTGTCTCTGTAGACATTTTCCGTGCCTCGTTTAGAACAGGCTTTGTTCAGGGAACTGAACTGTCGAGGGTGAGGTCTGAGATCTGCAGGGCAGGCCCTGGTGACACCTACAGGAGGCCACAGGACACAGGGCCACATGTCCAAGCACTGCCCATAAAGGTGAGTGGAGTGTCGGGAGGCTGCCCTGTCTGGGATCGGAACACCCACGTTGGAATGGGGAGGGTGGCCAAGATGGGAGTCCCGTCTACTGGACTGGATCTGTTAGGTTCTCACTCACAAGGGCCAGTCAGTCACAAGGACACCTAGCAAGGAGGCCACATCCTCAGGCCTCATTTGCATGCTGGGGCCACCGAGTTGAGAGCTGCCTGCCGCCAGTGGATTTGAGCAGAGAGCTTTGCCTTCTGTTCTTGTCTGTTGTCTCAAGGTCAGATCCGGAGCGGGGACAGGAACAAAGGCGGCTGTCCCCCACTCTACCTCCCAAGCCCGCCTGCCGCTCCTGAGAACATAGAGATGAGGGGAGAGCAGGGCCTCACAAGGCCATTCCAGGGAACCCTGCCTGGTCCCACAGCGATAGGGAGCGTGGGAAGCCCTGTCCCCTCCCTGAGCAGCCTGCCCTAGCACAAGGGGTCAGTGGTCACTAGAAACCAGACCCTGACCGGGAGGCAGTCAGAGGTCGGAGCACTACTATGGGGAAGCATCAGTGAAGGTGAGGGGTTATCAGGGTCAGGGGTGGCTTTAGCTTCATGGTGGTTAAGATCCATCCAGCCTGCTGTGGTCCTTCATTGTCTCCTGGGGCTGCTTGCTCAGGCCACGGCCCACCCTCTGAACTGATCTACACCATAAGGACGTTTAGTGGGTCTGGGCCAACCCTACCTCCAATCTAGCCCATCCACCCTGGCTGGTCACCCATGGCCCACTCACCTGCCACTGTGGCCTCAGGCTCTGATCTCAGTGTCTGGGGGTGGGGGGTTACGACACAGCCATCAGAGGCTACATTGCCAGGCAGGAGGCTAAAAATATGCAGAGAGGAATTTCTCATTACAGAATAAATTGTACCAAATTGCCCGCCTGAGATGAGGCAGGGTTGGGCAGTTGGGGGGTGGATTCTGGATCCCACAAGTTCCCCTTACCCTTTTAGCTGGCCACCTGCAGAGTAAGGACAGGGTGGGTGCTTGTCCAGCCACAGCAATTGGCACCCATTGTGGCCCAAAGAAATAATCATCTCTGGGTTACTAGCAAGCATAACCCCAAAGGGACTTCTTCCTCCCTCCTCTTCTTCCTCCCTCTTTTTTTCTCCTCGCTCCTCTTCTCAAACTTAGCCATCCTCCCTCCTTCCTGTCTCTCTTCCCTCCTCATCCTCCTCCAGTCATCCCCCATTCCGATAGGGTCCTCTCCCTTCATGCCTATGGCACAGGCCAGACCCCGGCCCCAAACCTATCTTCCCACAATGAGAACTGTCAAAGAGTCCCAGAAGACAGCTGTGCCTGTGTCCTCGCAACTCCAGTGCCTGCCCAGGTCCGGAGGGGAGAGTCTGAGAGCCCTACAGAGGATCTTAGGGCACCCTGGAGGAAGGCCCATGCAAGTGTGGTCACAGCTCTCAACTCTGACTTCCTAGGGAGATGTTATTGGTCCGGGACATGGTCCTGTCCCCAAGTCCCCGATGGAGCATCTGAGGCTAGCTAGGGTGCCCCCCCCCAGAGGCCTAGTTTGTCCACATCCAGGAGGTGCTTTGGGGGGACCGCAGGAAAGGCCTTGGCTCTTTTATTTTTCGTGTATTGGGGTGTGGCAGTCAGGAGACAGCTTACAGCACTCAGTTCTCTGCCCCGTCTGTGTGGGTTCCAGGAGTTGGAACTTAGGCTTGGCAGCAAGTGGCTTTACCTGCCAAGCAATTCTGCCAGCCCAGGGCTCAGATTTCGAATGGGTACAGGTGGCAACACTGTGTTGAGTTCAAGGCCCTGCCCCCACTATGCATGAATCTGGCACTGGGAGCTGCCCCAGGCGCACACACAGGCTGGCCAGGCCCCAAGGCCTTCCATCTTGCCTGACAGGCCCCTTTCCTGGCTTTCAGCTGTGCAGAGCGCCGGCTAATAGTGCATTAACCTTGACGGAACTGCCAATTATCCGTACTAATGCCGGGGTGCAGTGACTGCTGACAGGCGGGTGGTGGCGGGGCCACTCTCCCTGCAAGTGGAGGCTGGGGCGGGGCTGGGGTCTCTCCTGACCTCATTAGACTAATCATCCTGCCTTTTGAAGCTCCAGCAACGGCTGAGCTGTGGGACCAGGGGCGCAGATCACAGAGTTCGGGGGGACCGGGAATCAGGCCCATCCCAGCAGGCACCATACAAAGATGGGGAGTGACCAACAGTGCCCAGGGGCCCCAGAGTGACTCAGAAACTCTGGCTTCCCCTGGGTGCAAGCTGGGGGTGCAGAGCAGTCTTCCTGCGGGGAGTAGCCTGGGCTGAGCAGGGGCCCAGCCACTAGAGGGGACAGGCAGAGATGACAGAGCTGGGCTGTGGCCAGGCTCTTCCTCCCGACCACAGGACGGAGCGATGTCACCATCCAGCCTGGCACCCACACCCCTAGTAGGACCCGGCAGCTCCGGGACCCAGGTCAGCCCACTGGGGTGATGAAGATTGGGCATCCCACAGGGCAGGGGATGGACGAGCCCAGGCCAGCCACTGGGACACTAAGGTCTGAGGGTTCTGAAGGGGAGCGACAGAGGGGCTGGAGACCTATGCCCAGAGGAACTGGCGGGTCCTGGGAGGCTGGGTGGCATGTGGCTGCCACCTGGTGGCAGCTTCTTCTTATGGCCAGGCCGAGTGGTCTGGAAAGTAGCCTGGGAAAACCAAGGGAAATCAGGCTGCAAGTGACTTAGGCACCCCGTCCCTCTCCCCCAAAACTGAGAACATAGAGGGAGACGACTGGTTAATGCAATGGCTCCTCGGAAACTCTGCCATAGGTGCCAAACCACTGAGCCAGGGTGTCACGGGAGGGAGCCTCGGAACGAGTTTGTTTTGAGGAATGGATGGGTAGGTATCTCTAGGGACAGTGACACCAACAGGAAGAGCCTCATCCTAGGCAGGGAGGGATCACCCCCCTCACTTCGCCTGGACCCCTGGGTGTGGCATCAAGGGGGAGGTTCCAGGTGAGCTACAAAGCCGCGGCAGCTTCATTTATTGTCCCCCAAACAGTAGGAAGGTGTACATGAATATCCCAAGGTCTGTCTGCTCCGTCACATCTCGTCGTTGGGTCGCCTTGTTCCTTCTGGGGGGCAGGGGGGCAGCTCAGCACAAATCAGCCCAGCCTTGGAGGGCCTCAGGTCTGTGGGCTGGTCTCAACGAGGTCTCTGTGCTGTCCTGGCCCTCGCACCCTCCCAGGGGCCGTGCAAGCTCCCTCCAGGAAGGCTGACGTCAGAGCCTGCAGAACTACACGCGCTTTCTCGTCCTTTTGGCCTGCCATCCCCACCTCAACATCTGCAAGGGGAGGAACAGGGCAGGGCAAGGGATTGAGGGATGATGGCTGGATGGGGCCTCCTTCCACCCCAGCCCAGCCTGCGGAAGGTGCCCCTTCCAGGTGCGCCAGGGTAGCAAGAGACCACAGGTCTCCAAGGCTCCCTCGGGGGCCTTGGAAAGGCCCACATGCCTGAGAAGGTCCTGGTTCTCTAGGACACAGAGCCCCGCTCAGAACCCTGCTGGAGCCACTTGTTGCTCCTTTGTGCAGCTCTACTCTGTGCATGCTGCTACCCCGCCTCCTTGGTCCCCCCACCCAGTCCCTCACTGGGGATTCCAAGGGAGGATCTACCTCTGAGCTACACCCTCAACCCTTGCCTCAATTTCATGAAGTCCTTCGTACCATCTCAGATTCCTGGTTTCAAAGACAGTCTCTTCCTCGCTGTCCAGAGACGCCATCTCTTCGTGCTCCTCTGTGTTGGTCAGGAGTCCATACCTCTTTCGCTGTGGCTTCTTGAGTCTGTAGGACACACCCCCCTCAGAAGCCACCTCGGCGCTGGTGGCCTCCAGTCATGCTCCTTTCTTTCCCTTCCCTGCGCACCCCCCCCATCCCCAAGGCATGTGGCCAATGCCCAGTGTGAATCCTTCCATTGTAAGAGCTACAAGAGCAGCTCCGGACATGGTCAAAGCCGTGGAGGCAGGTGCATGGATGCTGCCTATCAGCCGCAGCTTTCTATTTAGACCACAGGCAGCTAGATAAAAACACAAAATGAAGGCTTTTTTTTTAAAAAAAAAAAAAAAACAAAAAACGTCTTGCAGGAATTAAGGGATCCTCCTGCCTCCACTTCCCAAGTGCTGAGATGACAGGCGTGTTCAGCACCCAGGGCTGGGGATGGCACCTGGGGCTTTGTGCATGCTAGGCAAAAACTATCCCTCAGCCAAGAGTAGGAGTTTTGCAGTCCGCAAAGTCCGGCATGGTTTTCTGCACACCTCTCACCTCTGCACTGGGGAAGCTGCTACCCCGCCACGAAACCCAGTCAGGAATAAAAACCAGGCTGGATGCCGAGTCACGTGCCCTCCCGGCCACCCACCCCTCGGGTGACTCACTAGATGCTGATTGGACCCACTAACGCACCTAAAAGCCCGGATGAGGAAGTAAAGCGAGATCAGGCCGCAGAGCCCGCTGACTACGTAGAACAGGCGAAGCAGCGCGGAGCCCGTGTCCCGGAGCCCCCCGCTCGTGTAGTTGTAAGGTGCGGCTGGCAGGCTGGAGTTCTCGGCGGATCCCGGGGTGGCGCACGGGAGCAGCAGCAGCAACAGCATCGTGCGCGGCGCCATGCCGGAGCCGAGGAGGAAGTGCGGAGGCCCCGCCCCGCCCACAATGCCCCGCGCACGCCTGGGTTGCTCATCTTAGCGCCCGGTTGTGCAGATAGGTGGGCGCCGAGGCTCCTCCCCGCGGCTCCCAGGCGCCCCCGCCCTTGCGCGCCACATCTAAGCCCCAAGCCACACAGTCGGGGTTCTGGGTCACAGCTCTTTATTCAGGACGCCCCCCACAACGTCCTGCCCCGGACCGCGCCAGCCCAGCTTCGCTTTCCGCTCCTGTAGGAAGCCCTAGGCACCGTCTGGGAGCGGTGCCAGCTCAGGATGTCTGCAAGAGGAAGGAGATGGGTCAGGGAAAGCCTCGTCCACTCCTGGGACGCCCCCGGCCCCGCGCACTCACCCGGGCAACTGTGCGCCGGCTCTGGCTTCTGCTCTTGTGGAACCCTAGGACCGGCGTCACCACAGCCATCCTTCCAGGCTTCAGGTTGGGTCCCCTTCATCCTGCCAAACAGAGGCATGTGACCCCGGCATCCCCGTGGGCCTGCAGCGCCCTCCCGCCTCCCCGCCTCTCTGCCCCCACCCTCGCGGCGCCCTCGAGGTTCATCCCAAGGTGGCCATGGCCCAAGGTGGCAGCGCCGCTCAGCAGCCTCACGGACTCTGGGCAAAAACTAAAGGCAGCAGCACAGGTCTCAAGGACCTGCGAGCAAGGAACAAGTCATGTCCACGAAGGCAGGGTTCCCGGTGGTTCTGGCCGGCTGCGGGAGGACCAGAAGGAGGTACTACCAGTTTGACTCAACTTCCAGGACTCAAAGGTCAACCCCAGGCCTAAGTTTCCGTCCAAGTGAGCTATAAACCGGAGGGATGCGACACGCCGGAAGGTGTTACCTCGAGGCACAGGCCAGCTGCACAGAGCTAGCGGGGGAGCAGCGGGCGAGTCTCGGAGGGTCTGTGGCTCGCGTCTGTCCCCCGAGGGCTGCGGCTTCGGAGGCTAGCAGAGAATGCCTGGAACTGGCGGGGCAGGCATCCTCGCCGGCCCTGCCTGCACCCGGCCCTGCACGCCGAGGCCTCTGCTGCCCCGCTGCCCCTCAGCACTGCCCACTCCCGTTCCCGCACTGCCCTGCCTTCCTAGCTGCTCTGCTGGCCACGGAGCCGCAGCTCAGTCGGCAATGAAAGGGAAATGGTCAGAGCGAGGTTCGTTTCACACGGTCTTTTAATCGGCTTCGTGAAGCCAAAGAAACTGCGTACAAGAATTCCTCAGCCACTGTGAATACAACATCGATGGAGTATGCATATCTTCAGTAAAAAAGGACAATATAAATAAACACTTCCACAGCCTCCTGGACTGCTGCGTCCCCACGGACCTGTGCCCCACGGGCGGGACCTGCTGTGCTCCACAGTGGAGCTGGGGAGCTGGAGAGCCATGGCTTGCTCAAATCAAGTCCATTTCATCTCAGGAGGGGTGGGGCGCCAGACTTCATGGTCGGCCACATAAAAAAGAAAAAAACAAAAAAAAAAACCCAAAAAAAAAATTAAGTAACCAAAACCCACACAACCAGACAATTTAGAAAAAAAAAACAAAAACCCATGGCTCATGGTAAACAGTAAAATCTGAAGTGCTTTCCAAAACGTTTTTAAAAACGCTTAAAAATAGACAGCACTTCATAAAAAGAAGTCTAGTCAGGAGGCCGTCTCGGGCCAGCAGCAGGCTGCCGACGGGTGGGAACGGAAAGGACTACAAAAGTGGGAACGAGGTGCTCACTACACAACGCTCAGCGAAGCTCCCCCATCTTAATTACAGCCATGGAAGGACGATCTGGACGCGGAGGGCTTTTACTCGTGTGTAGCTGAGGACAGAAGCGGGACAGTGTAAAGGCACTGGAGCTTGCGCTCCACCCGCGCGCAGGAGGTGGCACAGGGTTCCATGCACCTGCCCTGTCCAGTTGGCAGGCCTGGGAACTGCACCCCAGGCTGAGCAGCCTAAGATGCTCTGAGGACACAAGGGTTCACCGAGCCCAACCGCACGCCACTCAGGTGGCGTCCTTGGAGCCAGACTTACCATAACTGTCATAACTGTCTCTGTAGGAACCGCCAGAGCTCCGATAACCGTAGCTGCCACCCTGACTCCGGCTGTGGAAGGACACACATGGACACTACAGGGCATAGTTCTAGTGGCAACAGGGCTCCTCCCTACACCAGCTGCAGCTGGCAAGAGTGGGTGCAGTGTGGAGGCTGCCCGCCCTGTATACGAAGTCCTAGTGCCAGCTGGGTGCCCAGCAGAGAGCAAAACAAAACACCTGCAGCAGCTCGCCCTTTCAGCTGATGCAACCTCCCTTTTCTCACAGCCTAGGCCCAGCTGTTGCCACCAAGGCTGAACTTCCCTGAGGCTCCCTTCTGGCTTACCTGGCATAGTAGTCTCTGGAGCCCCCGTAACCCCCACTCCGGGACTCAAAGCGGCCACCTCCATAGCCTCGGTCTCCTCCTCCTGTAGATGCCAGAGAGAACAGAGTCACTGAGTCCCTACCCCTGCAGCAGTCCCACCACCAGCCGCCTAAGGCCTCCCAGCACTCACCTCTGGAGAACCCACGGCCCCGGCTGCGGCCCCCGCGGAAGAAACCCCGGCCTCCTGCAGAGCCACCCCGGTATCCGCGGGACCGATTGTCAGAAGACTTGCCAGCCTGGTCAACTCGTATCTGCCGCCCGTCCACAGACTGTGGGATAGAGAGAGGGTCAGCTGTGCCCCATTCCACACCAGACCCTTGCAACCCAAATTGCCTGACCTGATCCTCACCTTCCCGTTCATAGCCATCATGGCGTCCTTAGCGTCATCAATGTTCTCAAAGGTGACAAACCCAAAGCCACGGGATCGCTGCGTCTCCCTGTCCTTTACCACCACCACTGCAGAGAGAGGCATTGGTTATGCCCAGTGCCTCCAGAGGAGAAACCAAGAACAATGCTCTCTGCCCAAGCCTCACCTTCAGAGATCTGCCCGTACTTGGAGAAGACCTGCTCCAGCGCCTGCTCGTTGGTGTCGAAGCTCAGCCCTCCCACGAAAAGCTTGCCTTCATCTGATGCCATGGCAGCCTGTGCAAACACCACAGATGTTTGCTTTGCCTCAGCCACCCCTCCCCCCAGGTAGTATACTCTTAGGCTTTACAAAGTTCAAGACAGGGCCTCCCTTTAAAGCCCAGGATGGCCTTCCATTTCCCTGCATTAGCCTAAGTGCTTGGATGTGGCAGGCCACTGCAAGCTTACGGAGTCTCCTGCCTCTTCTCCCCCCTTACATACTTTTGTATATAAAAGTGACCCATGGCCTTCCTGGGAAACCTGAACCACAACTGGTGTTTCACACCTGTCACTCAGCCACTAGAGCCACTGAGGTAGGAAGATGGAAATAAAGGACACTGTGGGACAGTTTGGGAGATTGTTTCAAAACAAATACTCCAGCCTTTGGGATTTGGAGGTACAGGGATCAGAAGTCCAAACCCATACGCAACTACAGACCAAGTCGGATACTATCCTGGGATACACACTGTCTCAAAACAAACAAAACCAGGGAAATCTTTCCTACTTTTTAAACCATCCTAAACCCACATGTAAGACTGTGTCATATAAGAGGCTGACCTTAATGATGGTTCTAGGACTTAATACAAATGAACTCTAGTCCCTTTCCTGCAGTGCCCCTTCATTATACCTAGGCAGAGGATGCCAAGGTCTGGATCACCCAGCTAGACTGGCATGCTGGCATTTTCTTCACTTTGGAAGAGGGGGTGTGTGGTTGGGGACACAAAGCGACTTCCTATCCTCACTAGCTACAAGTTGTTGGGCCAGAGAAGCTTCATCACTGAAATACGCTTTTAGGGTTCTGTCTGGGAGGTGTGACAGTTATGGGATGCAACGTGGAGCGACAGGTTCACTCAACTAAGGACTAGAGAAATGGCTTTTGCATTGTGGATTGGAATTTTGGCCCAAGAGGTGTGGCTACAGGAAGAGGCGTGGCACTTAAGCAAAGCCATCATTGGCTGGGGACAACCAGGCCCCGACCACTTGGACCATTCTACCTGAGGGGCAACAAGGTTGGGACGCAGAAGGGCAAGATTCAAAACTACATGTGCTTTCTTCCCACATGGAACCACGAGGGAGGAGAAAACCGAGCTGAAGAAGAGTCACACGCGACACAGCTCCACATCCACGAACAAGACTCGGGAACTAGGCGCGCCCCGCCCCCGGAGCAGCGCATGCGCCACGCGCGCTCCCTGCGCCATTCCATCCGGGCACTCGGCAGTCCCGCCATTTCGCCGGCAAAGCCCTTCAGAGCCTCGCGGCCGCCATTTTACAAAATAGCCCACCATTAAAGGCGGCCTCGGCCCGGGGGGTGCCGCGCGGTGGAGGACGCCCACGGGGAAGCGTGAGGCCCCGGTGTCCCGCTGCCCGCCTTGCCGCCGGCGGGGCGGACTCCAACCCGGGCCCGCCCCCAAGTCCCAGGGGCGTGCCGCTGCGGCTCCGCCTCGCCCGAGAGTCACAGGCCGCCCGCCGCCCCGGGCCCCTCGGAGCCGGTCCGCCGAGCCCTCACCGCTGAGTCGGGCAGGTCCCGGACGCGGGAGGGAAGACAGCGCGCCACAAACACCCAGGCCTCCTAACGCGCGAGTGCGAGGAGGCGCGCCCGAGTCCAGCCTGATATACCCCGCCCCTGGAGCCACGCCCCCGAGCCCGCCTACTACGCCACCTTGGCCAATCCGGCGCCTCGGGCTCGGCAGCTGCCTCGCTGGAGGGGCGGGACTCTGTTGGCCAAATCCCGGCCCGCGCGGAGGCGCTGAGCTCTGTGATTGGCTGCCATGTGCCTAAGCCGCATTCCCCCACCCGCTAGCGACCAGGGGGCGGGGTCAGAGCGTTTCGGGGGCGGAGCTGACCCACTTCCTTGGTCCCCGCCTGGTTGGCCTGCGGCGGGGAACAAAGAGCTTCAGGCCTCTACTTTTAAAGAGCATTTGCTGCCTCAGTGGGACTCCCAAATATGGCTCGAACCTTGACTGGTCGACTTATTCACACTTCTCCAGTCTTTTTCTTTTCATTTTATTTTATTTTTTTTACATTTACTTGCTAACGCCTGTGGGTGGAAGTGTGGAAGCCAGAAGACCATTTTCTAGAGTCTCTCCTTGGAGAGATGCAAACTGGGGATTAGCGGCAAGCGCCTTTATCCACTGAGTCATCTCGCTGGCTCCTCGTCTCCATTCTTGCCCACGAACCCAAATCCTCCCGAATTACCCTAGTCCAAAAGAACCTCCCAATACAACTGATGCCCAACAATTCTCTGTACCCGCAAGGCTCCCGGACACTCCATAAGTCCAGCCCTAAGGTTTCCATCCCAGGATTACCCACGATGTCAACACTGCCTCCTTTTCCTCACCTGCACAGACTCAGTCTGCCTACGGTGTCAGCCTGCCCTGCCGCTGCCGTTTGGACCCTGACTTCCACCCCAACCAGGTGTATACCCCTCACCGCACAACTGGCAGAACAACACTCACCTACATGTACCCGCGTCCTTCATGTGCCCTAAGGGTCTCAAGCATGCTGTGGAAGGGGTTCTATCCCTGAGCTGTGCCCTCTAGCCTCTCACTGGGGAATCGTAGGCAGGGCCTCTATCCGAGCCACGGCCCCAGCCCATTGCTGGAGGATTCCCGGCACAGACTTAAGCCAAGCTACGTCCGTCCTTAGCCTTCTTAAAAATACATTTATAGCGGGACGGTGGTGGCTCACGTCTTTAATCCCAGCATTTGGTTGGGAGGCAGAAGCAGGTGGATCTCTGTAAATTTGAGGCCAGCCTGGTAACAGCGTTAGTTCCAGTACAGTGAGGACTACGCATATATCTGTGTGTGTGACAAAACCAAAACCCCACATTTATTCACATGTATGGATGTTTTGCCTGAGAGACTGCTCACCCCGTTTGTATGTGTTGTGCCTACAGAGGTCAGAAGAGAGTGTTGGATCCAGAGTTACAGACAATTGTGAACCCCACTTGGAAAATGAGAATTAAACCCACATTCTCTGCAAGAGCGAATAGGGCTTTTCACCACTAAGCCAGCTTTTTCTTTGGAGACAACCAAGTTTCGAAACCTGTCCTTGAACTCTGTAGCCTCACCTCCCAGGTAGCTGGGGTAAGAGGGTCAAGTTCTCTCCTTTCACTCCGGTTTGAGGGTCATGAGACCCAGGGGGCCTGAGTCATCTTTGCAAGGATCCTCACCCCCATCTAAGACAGTTCACCTCTGACTTCTACGCCTTCTTCCTGAGGACCCAGCCAGTGCAGACATCTCCCTGGATGTCAGCGATGGGAACCCCACACTCTGGCACTGCCCCTGGCGATTTTGAGGGCTGAGACAGCCCAACCCTGCTCCAAGCCCCAGACTCACTGACCCTCAGATGAGGTTGGTCGGGGTGACCCGTGACCCGGCTGTCTCCAGCAGAAGGATGCCAGAAGCGCTCAGGAATTCCACGCTCCCCTCCCCCTGGATGGCGGCTGGTGACTCATGGCCACCCTCTGCACCTCACTCCCTGCACGCAGCCCTCCCATCCCCGTCAGAGCAGCCTGCTGCGTCAGCCACTCACGCAAGGAGGTTATTAAAAAGAGCCGAGAAACCAACATGCCTCCCCTCCCCTCAACGTGCGCCATCCAGGAGGGGAGGGCACCACAACCTCAGGGAACCTGGGACCGCTGGACCACAGGCCAGCACAGCCGGAGGAGGCAGTGCTGGTGTGGGCCCCCGGAAGGAAAACTGGGTCCCCGTCTCAGCTCCCAGGGTCATTCTGGGTCCCTAGTCTGCTCCCCATTCAGAGACCAGTTCCTGGTTTTGGGAATTGCGTATTCATCCATTGATTCATTCATTCATTCAGCCAGCACCCACTTACTTAGCCTACTACCAGGCAGCTCCTTTGGGCTGCGCTCCACCAGTACTCACGGCCATTTCGAGCCCCCAGAAAAGCGTGCAAACGGGACCCGCGAACACCGCTCCAGGGTGTGTCTCTTGCGTGTTTGGTGTACTGGTGTCTAAGGTGTGTTTCCCCGGGCACTCACCTGTGCCCGCGTGCACAGGTGGCTCGGCGTGCCACCAGGACCCTCTGTTTCCTTTGGTGGGCTTTACAAGCGGCTGGAGCCCTCTTACACACACACCCATCTCCACCCACGCTGTGAACCCCAGAACCACGCGCGACTCAAAAATGGTTCTCTCTGCCCGACGAGGACACGAGAGGGCGCTGCAGCCTCGGCCGGAGCGTTCGGGACTGAGGTCCCGCCTCTTCCCGGGCGGCCGCCAGCTGCTTGGCCACGCTGTGACCGCTAGACGTCGCCACCGCGGACCGTCATCACGGACAGAGACCAGGACAGTGCCGGCTTAGCTTCACGGTGCCCAGCTGGGAGGTGGCTGGGCCGCACCACCAGAGCAGGTGGACCCCACACTCGAGGACCGCTCCCGAGCTGGGCAGAGCACTGGGCCCAGACGTCGCCCGGTGGGTCACTGTCGTCCGCGGCCACTGGGGGCCGGCCTGGATCTCAAGGGTCGTTTATAGATCCGAGGGGATGCCGGGTGCCAGCCCAGTCAATCCTGATCTCTGGTTCACACGGCACCCCACTCCACGCTGGGTGTCGCTATGGAGACAATGCGGGGCGCTGCACCGCGCCGCTCCCCCCACCCCATACCCGTCTGCCCTCCCGGTCCTCCCCGCACCTAGGCTAATGACCAGGAAGGAGGCAGTAATGAGCGTCTGGGTTGGGGACGGGCGTGGCCCGGGATGAAAGGCGCGTGTGTGGGGGGCACCCCGAGGCCGCGTAATTACCGCCCCCTTCTCGGCTGGGCGGGGGCCGGGGACACCTGGCCTCTGCCCGGCGGGGGCGCACAAGTGGGACCGTGATGGCAAAGCCTGGAAGCCGCCCAGCTGGCCCCAGAGCCTCTGGGACCAGAGCCAGGGTGGAGGACGCAGTCTGTGTGCGTGTGTTGCCAGGTGTGGCGCACATGTGCGCACGTGGGCAGGAGACCCGCAGGGACCCAGATGGAAACGTGAGGATTTGAAGAAACATCTGGCTCCCGTGGACAGGGGCATTGGCTTCGTTAGGTGTGTGTGAAGAGGACATAGTCATCTTTGCACGGCTGACCTGCGTTCCCTAAGGACAGGGTGGGTGGATGGGGCGCTGTGACGCCGAAAACCATGAGCACAACCTGGAGGCAGATGCTCAGGGCAGGGCTGGGTGGTGGTGACTGAGGTGGGCCGGGACCCACGTTGCTAATATAGCCATCTATGCCTGGTGGCGTGACTCACGTTCCGGGGTGGGCACCGTGTTGGAGTCACCCGGGCCTTTCCAATTGATGAGTCCAGAGCCTGCTGTAAGCGTTAAGCTCGCCTTTGGCTGGGTGGGCTCGGACTCCTCGGGAGGCCCCAGGCGTCTGAGGGCTGGCCTCCTGCCACTCACGGGGACTACCCTCTGCTTCTGGAAGGGGGTCTGTGGCCGGGCAGGCTAGGCCTAAGTTCCTGTGACTCATCCCTCCCCTCAGCCCTGAGTCACATCCCAGGAATGGGAATTTGAAAGCTTGGGAGGCCTGGCCCTTCAGGCTTTTGCCCAGACCTGGGCCTTGAGCGGCAGAGGGACGGACGCCTCAGACAGCACACGCATCCTATGACACGCCACACATGTCATTCGACACGTGCACGCCCACACCCTCTGCAGCAGACCCATCAGCCTCACAGTCAAGTGCACATGCCTGAGTCTCTCGTACATTGCCTGCATCCCGGAGAGACCTTTCGGGCTTCCCCGTACCTGCCTGCCTGTCTCTATGAACAGCTGGGACTGGGAAACCACAACAGGGTGGCTGGAGCAGGGACAGGCAGCGGGCGCCCTGCTACAACACCCAGGAAACCCCAGACGCTAGCTGGTTCACCATCCTGGGAAAGGATCTATTTGGGTTTCTATAGCTGCTGGAGGGGAGGGGTTGGCATCTACTCCCAGGGGTCCTCAAATGCCGCTCTGTGAGGGCCTCCTCCACCCATCATCCCGGAGAGCCAGCCTTCTTCCACTCTGTCCACTCACAGTACGCCCACCCACGCGCACAGCTGACTGTGCTGTGGCCTCCCTCGCAGGGTTAACCCACTGACAGGCTCCCTGGAAACTGAGGTGAGCGGAGTGGCTTCTGCCTGGGGCTGGTGGCCTGCAGTACTTCTTCTGCACTGAGCTGCATGGGGACAGTCACATGTGTGTGCAAATCCTCAGGTCAGGACGCATCTGTCAACCTCCATGTGCCTGGAGGGTCCCCGAGCAGGCAGACAGTCCCAACACCTGTCCACCCACCCCAGAGGGTCAGCCGTAGCCCACGGGCCCAGCTGTCTGGGTAGGCGGCACCCAGGCGCCTCCCTGGCCCCATTGCCTCATCTGAGAAGTGAGTGGGATCTGGGGAGCCTCCAGGGTCTGGCGGGGACTGGATCAAGGGTGGCAGTTGAACCTTTCCTTCTGTCTTCTTCGGATGTCAGTTGTTCAGCTGTCACTTACCTGCCCCGATTTGTGTGTACTGCCAACATTCCGCAGAAGACTTAGGGTCTCACCAAGCCCAGGCTGTCCCTGATGACTGTCTGTATGGAAAGTGAGCCTCCCATGTCTCCCTCTGGAGTGCCAGGATGACAAGCCAACAACGGG